GGAGGAGGAGAGCGGGGACCCAGACCTCCGACATCGTATTTTTTGTTCACAGCGTGGGCCCACAAGAGGTCTGGACCCGTTCCCTGGGACCAGCTGCTCATCCCGAGCCATGTTCTGCTGATCCTGGGGCCCAAAGTAGGGAATCGAACTCTATACACCGACGCTGCTTCCAGCCCTGCACTCGAATTTGCACTGGAGAGCGGATACTGGTGTATACGGGACCCTGGTGAATACATTTTTCGTTGTTTCCCCGGGACATCGGGAAAAAAGTATACACCACACCACCCCAGCGTGGTCCTCGACCCCCAAGAGATCCCGGGATTGAAAAAAAGCCCACCACTGGTAAAGTATATGTTCCAGTTTCTGGCAAAGGAGGGCCCCCGAGGAGGCCGAAGATGGCCAAAGGCCATCCACCGTGATTGATTTTCTGACGCGAGAAGGTGGGGGAGCAGGAAAAGGAGAGGGAGGAGGAGGAGAAGGAGGAGGAGGAGGAGGAGGAAGAGGAGGAGGAACGAGGAGGAACGAGGAGGAGCGAGGAGGGGGAGGAGGAGGAGGAGGAGGAGAAGGAGGAGGAGGAGGAGCAGGAGGCACGGCCACAACGACGACGACGACGACAATGGCGACGATGACGGCAGCGCTCCTGTGGTAGCTGCCCTTGCCAGGCACGTCATCGGCCTGCGGGCCGTCGTCGCCCAACGTCAACATCCGTCGTCGTCGTCGTTGTCGCCGTCGTCTAACCACGTCGTAGTCGCCGCCATCGTACTCTGATGTCGTCGTGGTGTTCTAACGATGTCGTCGTCGTAGTCTACCGACGTCGTCGTCGTTATCTATCCTCGACGTCGTCTGAACACGTCGTAGTCGCAGACATCGTAGTCCAACGTCGTCGTCGTCGTCGTCGCAGGTCGTCGTCGTCGTCGTCGTCGCAGGTCGTCGCCGTCGTCGTCCTCGTCGTCGCCCGTCGTCGTCGTCGTCGTCGATGTCGCCGTCGTCGTCGTCGCTGGTCGTCGTCGTCACCGTCGTCGACGCCGCCGCCGTCGTCGTCCTCGTGGTCGTCGTCGTCGTCGTGGTCTTCCTCGTCATCCAACGACGCCGTCGTCGTCATCTAACGTCGCCGTCGTCTAACCACGTCACAGTCGCCGCAATCGTAGTCAAACGTCGTCGACGTCGAAATCGTCGTCGTCGCCGTCGTCGTCGTCGCCGGTCGTCGTCGTCGTCGTCGATATCACCGTCGTCATCGTGGTCGTCGTCGTCGTCGCCGACCGTCATCGTCGTTGTCGCCGTCGCCGGTCGTCGCCGTCGTTGTCGTCGCCGTCGTCGTCGTCGTCGGCGGCGTCGTCGTCTAACTAACGTCCTCGTCGTAGTCGCTACCATCGTAATCCAACGTCGTCGTCCTCGTCGTCGTCATGGCTGGTCGTCGCCGTCGTCGTCATCATTGCCGGTCGTCGTCGTTGCCGTCGTCGTCGTTGCCGTCGTCGTCGTCGCCGTCGCCAGTCGTCGTCGTCGTCTAACGTCGTCACCGTGGTCGTCGTCGTCGTCTAACTAACGTCGTCGTCGTCGCCGTCGCCTGTCGTTGTCGTTGTCCAACGTCATCGTCGTCGTGGTCTTCTAACGTCTTCGTCGCCGTTATCTAACGTCGACGTCGTCTAAGCACATCGTCGTCGTCGTCGTCATCGACGGTCGTCGTCGTCGTTGCTGGTTGTCGTCGTCATCGTCGTCGCCGTCGTCGTCACCCGTCGTCGCCAGTCGTCGTTGTCGTTGTCGTCGTCTTCGTCGACTAACGTCGTCGTCGTCGTGATCTAAAGTCGTCGTCTAATCACGTCGTAGTCGCCGCAATCGTAGTCCAGCGTCATCGTCGTCGTCATCGCCAATCGTCGTCGCCGAGGTCTTCCATCGTCTTCGTCGTTACAATCTAACATCAACTTCGTTTAACCACGTCGTCGTCGTCATCGCCTGTCGTCGTCGTCGCCGGACATCGTCGTCGTCGTCGTAGGACATCGTCGTCGTCGTCGTAATCGCCGTCGACGTCGAGGTCGTCGTCGTCGCTGGTCGTCGTCGTGGTCGTCGTCTTGCTTTCCAACGTCGTCGTCGTCGCCGTCGTCATCGTTTTTATCTAACGTCGTTGTTATCTAACGTACTTTGTCTAACATCGTAGTCACCGCCATCGAAGTCCAACGTCGTCGTTGTCGTCGTTGCCGTCGTCCTCGTCGTCGCAGTCGTCGTCTTCGTCGCCGGTCGTCGTCGTCGTCGCGGTCGTCGCCGTCGTCGTGGTGTTCTAACGTCGTCGTCGTCGTCTGTCGTCGTCGTTATCGAACGACGTCGTCGTCAACTAACCACGTCATAGTCGCCGCCATCGTAGTCCAACCTCGTCGTCGCCCGTCGTCGCCAGTCGTCGTTGTCGTTGTCGTCGTTTTCGTCGACTAACGTCGTCCTCGTCGTCGTTATCTAACGTCGTCGTCGTCATCTAACCGCGTCGTAGTCGCCGCCATCGTAGTGCAACGTCTCCTCCCCCCCTTACCTCGAGACTAAGTGCACGACTACAACAGACTGGCCCGCGGCGATGTTTTATTCGCATCGCGCGTCTTGGCAGCGGTGCAGACCCAGCGAAAGCGTCGCGACGGCCTGAATCAAATGAAAGCCCAGCGCACACTCTGGGTCCCGCAGTCGTCGATGGGAGATCCCTCATGCTGTTGCACTGCGAAAGGGTCAGCTTCAGCACGGGGGCTTACTTTGGCGTTGTCAGCTTTTACTATGTGGCCTTTGCTCACAGCGGGGCTCGATCTGGGGTCGTCGGCGGCGGCTGCGTCTCCTGGCGATTACTGAACGCAGAGTGGGCACATGATGCAGGGGTAGCTCCCGAAGCGACTGGCAACTGCGCTAAGAGCTTTGTTTACGAACGTTTTGGCTGCAAGGCCCTGTTCATCTACGTGGCTGAGAACTGCCAAGATAGCCGACCCCCGCTTGCGGGAGATGAAGGGATGAGAAGGCGTGTGAGATATGCTGCTGTCCCCCTCCCCTTGATTCCTCTCCTCGGAGGTCGAACATCTAGTTGGAGGAGCGAAGGGGAAGGGAGGAGGATGGACCGCTAGGCAACCACATGTGAACCTTACCCCTGCAGATCAGACTTCCGAAAAACCGGCTTGGGCTCAGAGTTTGAATGGCGTCTGCAGCGAAGCGAACCCCAGCGGGGTTCTCCTATACGCCAGCGTTGAATGGACCCGCAGGGGTAGGGTTCGCCATCGGTCGCAGAACCCCACAAGGGCCCAGGACGGCCAAGAGGGTGCTTTTGGATTGCGCTCAGAGGCTCTACGATGGCGCCAAGTCGAGGCGGCGCGAGCCTGACGAAAGCAACGCTGTCGCTCAAGATTGATCCTCGGACGCGTCCTGGACACCATCCCGACCGCTTCTTCGATCCGTGCCCAGCCGTGGCCACGAGGGACCCCTGGACCCATAATATATATATATATATATATATATGTATATGATGTAAGTTTGTATGTAGGTATGTATGTATGTATGTATGCATGTATGTATGTAGGTAGGTAGGTAGGTGGGTATATTAATATACATGAACATATGTGTGTATATGTATATAGATAAGTGCGGTTGGGGGGAGGCGGGGTTGCGGAAGCACACAGGACAGGGGGCCTCCAGAGGGCCCCATCCTTTTTTCACATGGCCATATCACTTTGACTTGGATCCGAGAGGCCCTCGACTCCACTCTCCGCGCCTCATCGCGCTTGGCCAGGGACCCAGACGGTCGACCCAAGAACGGTCGGCACAGCGGCGTTCCGGGCAGCGATCAGAGGGAGTCGAGGCCGCTCGATCCTCGCGGGTCTTGCAAGGTAAAAACAGTCGCCAGGGGTGGAAGCGGGCGGGCAACAGCGACTGCCACGCAATCACTCTCACGGCCATGCCTTACTCCGCACCCCTTTTCTCCCTCCTCCGACTTATCTACCGCAAGCGTTTATATATGCGCAGTTGGGGGGAGGCGGGGCTGCGGAAGCACGCAGGACAGGGGGCCTCCAGAGGGCCCCATCCTTTTTCACATGGCCATGGCACTTTGACTTGGATCCGAGAGGCCCTCGACTCCACTCTCCGCGCCTCATCGCGCTTGGCCAGGGACCCAGACGGTCGACCCAAGAACGGTCGGCACAGCGGCGCTCCGGGCAGCGATCAGAGGGAGTCGAGGCCGCTCGATCCTGTCCACCCGCCCCACCCTGGCTATCTAGCCGAATTCTACTCTACTTCGAGAGACAAAGGAAGGCGCATCATGATTGATCCACCTCTGAGTCTCGCCTCTGAACTGCATCTCTGCAAGGATGGCGGCACCGTCTTCGATATAAATTCTGGCAGTCCTGATGGAGCTCCATCGCCCACGCAACATGACACGCTCAAGATTCTTTGATGATAGATACTCGCGCGTGGCCCCACCCCGACGGAGGCTGCACGGAGTGAGGCGTGCGTGGCGGCAGCCTACACCTGCAGCAGCTCGCTTGAAAGCGGCGCGAAAGGCTGGGAGCGCACCGCTCCAAAGTTTGCCGGCAGGGTCCAGCGACAGCGCACGATGCAACCAGGCCCCTATGTTGGGATCGTCGACGGTGAACTCATTGCGCTCGAGCGCCCAGCCGGCCATTGCGGCTGCGACGCGAGCAGGCATCGGAAGCGCTCGGCTTGGCACCTCGAGGCGTGACCACACCGAGAGAAGGCGCCATGCCCCAGGATATTGGCGGCGCGAGCGCAGAAAATGTTGCACTCCAGACAAAGTGCCATTCGCCTGCCCCTTCGAGGCTCCGATGCTCCAGAGATGCCCAAGATAATCCTGAAGGCGGAGATCCATTTCGTCCCACGTGACTGGCAAAGAGAAATGCATAGCACTCAAAAACTCTACAAACTGCTGGCACGCGCGCTGATATTTGTTGCATGTTCTAGTATTCACACGCGCGTCGGCCAGACAGCCAAGAGCAGCTCGGGTAGCACGCCTCTCGTCTGGCGAAGTGCGCCTACCCATTGGGCAAGCGGGACGGCGCATCCACAGGGTTCTTTGCCGATGAGGTGAAGGCAAAGACCGCCCGCGACCCGAGCGCCAGCTCCAGGATGGAGAAGGCGCGCACTACCTTGTTGAGCTGCTGGCTCGAAGACCGGCGCTTGGCAAGGGCACCGATATTCACCACGGCGTCGAGCAGGTGCAGGAAGACGCACATCTGTCGCGAGGCCGACCGGGCCCGCCAACGCAGGGCCATCAGCGCCGCCTCGCACTCCAACACGTTGATGTGCTTGGCCTGGTCTTGCCAAACGAGCTGGCGAGCGACCTTCCACTTCCAAATGCCAGCATCAATCTCTTGCCGCGGGAACATCTTGCCATACGTCTCTGCGTCCGTGTCCACCCGAAGGTCAGCGCCCGAGTGGTGGCACGTAATCACCAGCGAGGCCACCACCCTCTGGTGCTCCAGGAGGGGCCGGGAGCACCCCCTGCCGCGCTGCTCCAGCTCCGCCAGCAGGACGTCCGCGTGGCAGGGCTGCCCCGAGGGACAGCGGCAGAGCAGCCGAGCTCCCTCCAGTTCGCCCAGGCTGGTCCAGGAGCTCGGGCTGGGAGCGCAGCCAGCCCGCGAACAGCGCCACGGCGTCGCCGGCCGGCCGCCCCGGCACCACGGGGCACGGGTTCCCCCACTTGGAGGGGCCGAGCCCCCAGCGGCGCGAGCCGCGGCCGACGTAAATGGCGCGCGCCTCCGGCCCAGCGCCCGCCGCGGGCGCGCGCCCGGCTTCCTCCAGCAGGCGCAGGTTATCCTCGCACACGGCCTCGCGCCCGCACCGCAGCGCCTCCACGTCGCCGGCCCAGAGCTTGCGGCCCATCGACCAACTCCTCGAGCTCTCGCGGAGGCTCCGCAGGGACGGCACCGCCACCAGCAGCGAGTGGTGCACCGCCCAGTGGCTCAGCAACCAGGCCACGACCTCGCACTGGAACGAGTTCCCCACGAGCGACCGCCGAAGGGCCTCGTAGCGCTCGGGGTGGCTCTTGGCAGCTGAGCTGCTCACGCAGGGCAGAGTGTGGCCTCGCCTGAAGCCCATCAGCACCTCGCGCTCCACTGCCCGCGGCGGCTCCTTCCGCCCATCCGCCCAATGCAGGCAGAAGCAATCCCGAAACTGATAGGGCGGGGCTGCGTAGCCCGCTGCCGTCCAGCGCGCCACCTCCTTCGGCGTGCACTGGCGAAGCCCGGCTGGCCGCGGCCGAGGCGAGCTCCGCGGCGCCCAGCGTACGAAGGTGGGCAGGCGGCCACCTTCAGCGGCCCCGGGCCAGGAGGCCCCGCGCGGCAGCCACTCCGAGACGGGCGGCAGCTCCGTCACCAGCCGCACTCGGCAGGCCCGCGGCCGGGCCCCATCGACGCCGCCTTCATCTCGGCCGTCATCTCGAAGGAGCGCAGCAGGTCCCACGACAGCCAGTACAGCCGCGGGCGGCGGACCCAGCCCAGGTCCGCGGCGTCGAGGGACACCGGCACTCGGCCGAACATCTTGTTCAAGGCCAGGACCTCGTCCTCCGCCATGGACGCCGCGTTCTCCCCGAGGAAGTCCACCGTGGCCTCGGGCAGCTCGCGCTTCAGCCCCTCGATGAGCCTCCACATGTGGCCCACCAGCTGCGACCTCGGGTCCGCGCTCCCCTCGCGGGCAACGTTCAAGACCGCATAGCCCTGGCAGGGGAACCTCCCGATCACAATCACCTTCGCGATGCGGCCGTGGTCCCTCAGGAGGCGCCAGATGCGCCGGATCCGCAGCCGCGACGTCCCCCAGGTGCACGGTGCTGGGGAACGCCCGCCGAGCCACGCGCACGGCCTCGGCGCCCACCTCGAACGAGAGGTGCGCCGCCTGGGCGAGCCCCAGGATCTCGAAGGCCCGGCGCGCCCCGTCGATCCCCGAGAAGACAGAGATCAGCGCGACGGCCTCCTCGCAGGCCGGGTTGAGGGCCCGCGGGCCCCTGGCGCCAAGGGCGCGGCCCATGTCCGACAGCCCCTGGGAGTAGACGATCGCACCCGCGGCCTCCGAAGCGTCGGACGCCGCCACGAGGTGGTCGACGGCCAGCCGCATGTCCGCCACGCTGAGCGGCGCAAGCGCGGCTGCGATCAGCAGGTCCTCGGCGACGCCCAGGGTGATGAGCCCGCCCGAGCGGCCCGACGCCAGCCACTTCCAGGCGTTCACGAAGGCGGCGGCGAGCGGCCTCCGGTAGCACTGCACGCGGACCCAGCGCCCCAGCAAGATCTGCGCCAGCCGCCTGCTCGGGCGCCTCTTCGCCAGGAAACACAGCGTCAGGCTCGCGAGCTCCGCGAGGTATCCCAGCGGCGGCCGGCGCACCCCAGCCTCGCCATCCACGAGGCCCCCCAAAGTGGAGACACCTGCTGGGCGCGGCGGACATCCTTGCCCGGCGATCCAGGAGTATAGCCTCCTCGTAGCAGGCCGACGCCCGGCTCAGCAGCTCGGGGATGGTGCCCTTCAGCTTCGCGGCTCCGCGATCTCGAGGTTGTCGACGTAGACGAACCACATCGCGACTCCGCTTGCCTGGGCCTCCGCGGGCAGGCGGCGGGCGCGCGCCACCTCGGCCGCAGGCGGCAGCCCGCGGGGGGCCGAAGCCGACCGCCTCAGCATGTTGCGGTGGAGGTACGTCGTCACCCCGACCGCGCTGATCCAGCCCATGCTGATGACCCTCAGCGCGATGCGAGTCAGCCCGTCGCCGCTGCCGCCCACCAGTCGCCGCGGCACTGGAGGCCCCAGCGCCATGTAGGGCCGCCAGGCGGGGGGCGCCCGGAAGACATAAAAGAACGCCTTGCGGTGCGCCCCGCCCCAGAGCAGCTGCCCCCCCGGCGCCCGCACTAGCCCGTTCAGCTGCCCCATCGTCGGCATGACGGGGGTGTCCCCCGCGACGGTGCGCTGGCACGCGTTCGCGGGGATCAGGTTGACGATGAGCCGCAGGACAGGCCGCTCCTCGCCGTCGCCGCAGCTGACCGGCGCGTCGTGCACCTTCGCCACGCCGAAGGCCCCGTTGATCAGGGGGGCCCCGTCTCTGGTCGCGATCTCGGCCTCGTCGACGGGGCCGACCATCCCGCGAGCAAACAGGGCGCTCACCACCAGCTCCCACTCCTGCGACGTCGCCCAGACGCGCGTCGAGGTCGGCGCGGGGCGCCTCTGCGCCGGCGGTAGGAGGACCAGGGAGGGGTCCAGCAGCGCCGCCCGCACGAAGCCCGCGGCGAGATCCGCGGCCTCGATGGAGGCGGCCACCCCCACAGGCGGCAGGCCGCCCTCGATCTGCTCGAGCGCAATCCTGCTCGGTGTGGAGACCTCCGAGCCGTCGTAGGCGATGGCCCGGTCCTTCAGCTTCTCGGACCAGCCGAGGGCCCCTGCCATGACGGGCTCTGGCGCGACGCTCGAGTAGATGCGCCGCGCGATCCCGAGGAGAGCCGAGCGCTGGGCCGCATTCGGCTCCGGCCCGCAGACGTCGGCCCACTTCAGGTGGCGGTAGCCGGCCCCCCAGTTCATCGCCATCACGATCACCCTCAAGCGAGACTGCAGCGAGGTCAGGTCGCCCGGGTCAATCTCCCCCTCCACGGCGAAGTCCGAAGCTTCTAGATCGGGACAGGGTAGCGGGAGCAGATCACGCTGCAGCCGCCCCCGTCTAGTTGGCCGATGCCCGCTGTGCATGAACTTGTCCACGTAGACCCCAAGCGCACCCGGGAAACCCAGCGTCAGCTCCTCGAGGATCGGGCCCGCATCCAGCGGGCGGCGGAAAGACTCGGCAACAGCCCCAGCCTTCTCCTGCCACGCGCGGAAGAACTCCAGGGGGGCGTCCGCGTCTGGCCAAGCCGCTTCCGCGCGCGCCGCCTCCCGGCCTGCTGCTAGCGAATCAGCTGGCGGCCCCGGGTCGCCCACGCAGTCAGCACGAGCTCCAGCTGGGCCCAGAGGGTCCGCCTCCCCACGTGCATCATCAGCAGAGCGCGTCCGCGCCTCCAGTGCTAGCGGCCCCTGCCGCGGCCCTTCCAGGGCGCCGGCCGCCCGCGGCCCGGCAGCCCCCCTCTCGGCGCCCGACGCCCGCGGCGCTTGCCCGCGCCCTTCGGGCTCCCGCCCCGCACCTGGGGAGCCCCCCGCCGACCTGCGATGCTGGCTGGTCTTGCCGAAAGGCGCGGACATCGGGAGCGTCCAGCAGCTCCACGCGGCCCGGCGCCGCCGCGGCCCCAGGGTGGGAGCTGCCCCCGCGAGGCGTCCTCGGCGGGAGCGGCGAGCGGGGGCGCTCCCCGGCGTCGGAGGGCGCTCGGGCGGGGGACCTCGAGGCCTCGCGAGCGGCTGCGGGACCCTCGGGCCGCTGGCAGCCTGCCCCGCGGCCGCCGCGGCTCCGCCAGGGCGGGCTCCGCCTCGCCTCATCGCGAAAAAGCCCCGGCCGCGGCAAGCGGGATCGCTCCCGCGCCCTCGGCTCCGCCCCGGAGAGGGCGCTCGAAGCGGCTCCGCAGCCGCCGCCTCCTCGGGTCAGCAGCGGGGGGCTGCCCCCCCGGCGCGGACCTCCTCCAGCCGCCGCCGCAGCATCGCCGACCTCCGCGCCGACTCCTGCTCGTCGCGGGAGGCGAGCGTCGGGCGGATGCCCTCGACCACCTCCGGCTCGTTGGCGATGTACCAGTTGCCGTCGTTGAGCGCCATCTCTAGCGCCTTGAACCGCTGCATCAGCGTGCCCGCGACCGACGCCAGCGAGCCACCCTCGAGCAGGTCCAGCGCTGCGGCCAACGTCTGGAGCTCGCGCACCGTCCGCTCCCAGACCGAGTGGATCGGGTGGTGGCCGAGGACAACCGCCTGGAGGTAGCCCCTGATGCGAGGGCGTATTCTCTGCCCGTCCGCCCCCTCCCGCAGGCCCATGACACGCGCGATCTGGGCAATCGCTTCGTCGCACAGCGTGCCTGGGCGCCCGTCGGCCACCGCCTGGACGGCGTTGCCGCGGGAGGGGGCGTCGCGAGAATCCAGCTGGTCGCCAGCGGCCCGCTCCTCGCTCTCGCTTCGCGACTGCTCGCGACGGCGACGGCGAGGCACCAGCGGGCGAGCTGCAGGGCCAGCCGCCTCCGCAGCAGCCGCAGCCGCCGCGTACCCAGCCGCGGCCCTGGCGAGGCGGCCCCGCGCGGGCGCCGGGGCGACGCCACCCCCTGGCCCGCCGCCGCCTGGCGGTCGGAAGGTCGGCCGAACCCACGGCTCGACAAGCTCCGTGCCGACCGCAAGCGCAGCCAGTCGGCGTGCCGCTCGCCGCGCCCGACCAGCCGGGAGGCCCTGCAGGCCGCGGCGCCGCCCGCACAGAGGCGCAGGACCCCAGGCTGCCCAGCGCCCGGAGCGGGGAAGCTCAGGTCCAGCTCCAGGGCGCGGGCCGGCAGCGAGGCGCCCTGGAAGTTGACGGAGAAGTAGACCCCGTCTGGGCCCGGCGCCCCCGCCTCCACGACCTCGACGAACGCCGCGCCGTCTACCTGGCCGGTCGGGTCGTGCGTGGGCGTCTCCAGCACCATCCCAGCCGTGAAGGCGCCGTGCTGCAGGGCCGGCGAGCCCACCCAGGGGCCGTCCACCAGCCGCGCCAGCGCAACCACGCCGCTTCCGGCGGGCGCCGGCCCCGCAGCGGCCGCCATGCCGCCACCTCCAGCGCCGGCAGCAGCCGCCCCTGGCAGCGCGAAGGGCCCGGGCGCCGGCGGCGCGCCAAGGGGCGGCCCCCCGCCTGGAGCAGGCAGCGCCGCCAGGGCGCCCACGAGGGCCGCGCCAACCCCAGCGGCGGCGCCGGGCGGAGCCCCAGGCGCGTCGCCACCAGGCGCGGCGGCCGGCGGGCCTGGCAGCGCTCCGGCCGCGATCCCCAGCGGGGGGGCCCCCGGCAGCAGCGCAGCGCCTCCGCCGCCAGGGGGAACGGCAGCGCCGAGGGGGGGTAGCGCAGCAGGCCCCGCGCCGGGGCCACCTGCTGCAACTCCCGCGCCCCCGTGGGCGTGGCCTCGGCCGCGGCCCACCGCCGCAGCACCTCTGCCGCCGCCGCGTCCGCGCCCACGGGCACGCCCCCCGCCTCGCGCGACACCGAGGCCCCGGGCTGCCGCCTTGGCCTTGCCCTTCGCCTTGGCCTTAGCCTTGGGCGGCATCCCGAACCATCTCGTCCGCCAGCCCAGCCAGCGCCGCCAGGAGCGCCGTCAGGTGGCGCGCCTGCTCCAGCAGCACCGCCCGCTCGCCCGACGTCAGCTGGGCCCGCCAGGCGTGCTGCCGCGCCAGCGCCAGGAGGTAGCACAGCTCGCACACCTCCCAGAGCTGCCCGTTCAGGGCGAGCGCCAGGGACTCGTTGGGCCCCAGCCGCCCGGAGCACCACCCGCAGTATCGCCCAGGCGGCCGCGGGGGCCAGCCGGGGGGCGGCCGGGAGGCGATGGGACTGCCTCCTGGATGGGCTCCCAGGCTGGAGGTGGAGGCCCAGAGCCCGAATCAGACATGCCCCGCAGGGCTGAGAAAACCTCAAGAGACTGAGCCACAACAGCGACTGCCATGCAATCACTCTCACGGCCATGCCTTACTCCGCACCCCTGTTCTCCCTCCCCCGACTTATCTACCGCAAGCGTTTTTATACATATATATATATATATATATATATAGAGAGAGAGATATACATGTGTGCTGCGGCATTCACTTATTTATCTGCGTATGCATGTGTTATTTGTTTATGCCTGCAAATCTTGATTGATGCATGTAGTGGCTTGTTTGTTTATTGATTGGTTCCTCATTTCCCCATCTCCAAAGTGGGGTTCTTGTTTTCTCTGGACACCTCGCGCAGGAACACATAGGAACACACACTCACTCACTCTCACATTCACTGACACACAGACCATCTTGATCACCGACCATCACTCGATCACACACTCACTCACCCACTCACTCATCATCTGCAGCATCCTCATCGTCATCACTCATTCAGTCATTCACTCACTCACTCACTCACTCACCCACTCATTCGCTAGCTTGACTATGGGGGAAGTATTAGGCGGAAGCCTCGTCTGAGAGTGAATTGCGAGGAAGGTTCAGGCGGGAGCCATCTCCCTATGGGGCCCGCACTTCATGTTTGCTAATCCGAGCGGGTCATCCTCAACCCTGTAACTGTCGTCACTTTGGGGCTCCCAAGGCCTGAATATGGAGGAAATATCAGGCGGGGAGCCTCGTGTGTGAGTGAACTGCGAGGAAGTCTCGGGCGGGAGCCCCTTCCCCGTGGGGCTCGCACTTCATGTTCTTAATCCGAGCGGGTCATCCTTAACCCTGTAACTGTCGTCACTTTGCAACAGGATTGTCTAAGCATGTTAAGCAGATTTGTCGCAATTCTGGTTGGAACTTTTCAGACTTGGGCACTTTTCCAGCGGAAGCCTGGAAAGCAGCGGTGCGCAAGTATACTGCCTAGCGCACGCTCGTGCCATTGCTCATGTGCCTACGGACACGCGGCTTCATTCATTCATTCGAGGCCTGAATCTCGGGGAAGTAGCAGGCGGGGAGCCTCGTCTGTGAGTGAACTGTGAGGAAGTATCAGGCGGGAGCCGCCTTCCCCATGGGGCCCGCACTTCATGTTTGCAATCCGAGCGGGTCACCCTCAACCCTGTAACTGTCGTCACTGCTGGGCTCCCGAGGCCTGAGTATGGAGGAAGTATCAGGAGGGGAGCCTCGTCTGCGAGTGAACTGTGAGGAAATCTCAGGCGGGAGCCCCCTCCCTATGGGGCCCACACTTCATGTTTTGTCGTCACTTTGGGGTTCCCGATGCCTGAATATGGAGGAAATATCCGGAGGAGAGCCTCGTCTGTGAGTGAACTGTGAGGAGGTCTCAGGCGGGAGCCCCCTCCCTATGGGGCCCGCACTTTTTGTTTTTAATCCGAGCCAGTCATCCTCGAACCTGTAACTGTCGTCACTGTTGGGCTTCTGAAGCCTAACTATGGGGGAGGTATGAGGCAGGAGCCTCGTCTGTGAGTGAACTGTGAGGTAGTCTCGGGCGGGAGCCCACTCCCTATGGGGCCGCACTTCTTGTTTTTAATCCGAGCGGGTCATCCTCGAACCTGTAACTGTCGTCATATTTGGGCTCCTGAGGCCTGAATATAGGGTAAATATCAGGCGGGAACCTCGTCCGTGAGTGAACTGTGAGGAGATCTCAGGCGGGAGCCCCCCCCCTGTGGGGTCCGCACTTCATGTTTTTTCCTAAGATGGGGTTATTGTTATTACTTGGTCGCCTCCTACTCCTTCCTCTTCTTCTCCTCCTCCTCCTCATCCTCCTCCTCAAACCTAGACTTACTCATACACAGACTTACTCATACACAGACTTACTCATGCTCAGACCTGATCATCTTAAGTTACTCATACTCAGACCTGCTCATACTCAGACCTGCTCATACTCAGACCTACTCATGCTGAGACTCACTCATACCCAGACTTACTCATACTCAGACCTTCTCATTGTCTGACTTGCTCAACACACAGCAGATTGTGAGGCTGCCTCAGGCGGGGCGCTGGTTTGAGCACCCCATAAGGGGAGCCGCCAAGGGGTATGACACGGTCCCGTTCGCGGCCGTTTTGTGGGGTTGTCTCAAGCGATTTGCCTGTGCTCTGTCCCAACATCCTTCGCTTGGAGAGCTGATTGTGAGGATGTCTCAGGCGGGGCGCTAGTTTGAGCACCCCACAAGGGGAGCCGCCAAGGGGTATTGCACGGTCCCGTTCGCGGCCGTTTTGTGGGGATGTCTCAAGCGGTTTGCCTGGTTTCTGTCTCAACATTCCTCACTTGGAAAGCAAAGTGTGAGGATGTCTCAGGCGGGGCGCTGGTTTCAGCTACCTAAGGGGAGCCGCCGAGGGGTATTGCACGGTCCCATTCGCGGCCGTTTTGTGGGGATGTCTCAAGCGGTTTGCCTGGTTCCTGTCTCCACATCCTCCGCTTTCGGAGCAGATTTGGAGGATGTCTCGAGCCAAGCGCTCATGTTCACCCCCCAGGAGGGCCAGATGTTGAGGATATCTCGATCGGTTTGCCTGTTTTGGTGGCCAGACTCGTGGGCACAGATTCTCCTCAGGATGCCACAGGAGGCTCCAACAGGCTCCAGGAGGCCCCAGGAGGCCACATGAGGTCCCAGGAGGCATCAGGAGGCCACAGAAAGACTCAAGAGGCCACAGGATGTCCTAAGAGGCTCCAGGAGGCCCCAGGAAGCTCCAGGAGGCCTCAGGAAGCCACAGGAGGCCCCAGGAGTCCACAGGAAGCGCCCGGAGGCCTCGGAAGGCAACAGGAGGCCCCGAGAGGCCCCAGGAGCAGGAGGCCTCAGAAGGCAACAGGAGTGACTCCAATCCCATGTGTTTTACGTATGCTCCTATAGATTGGGCCTCACCTGGAGCACGAATCCTTGATGTTATACGTATGTTTCTATCGATTGTCCTTCTCCTGTGTACACAATCCTAAATGTTTTACTTATGTTCCTATAGATTGGGCCTCTCCTGGGGCACGAGTCCTTTGTGTTTTACGTGTGTTCCTATAGATTGCCCTTCCCCTGTGGCTCCAATCCGCAATGTTCTATGTACGTCTTTTGCTATAGATTGGGCCTCTACTGGGGCACGAATCCTCCCTAGGAGGTCCCAGGTGGCCCCAGGAGGCCCCAAGAGGCTCCTGGAGGCCCCAGGAAGCCCCAGTAGGTTTCAGGAGGCCCCAGGAGGCCCCAGGCTCATGCGCAGAGACGCGCTCGTACTACTAAGGCTCATTCACACTCCAGTTCATTCGCAATTAGATTCCTGACCAGACCGTCACAACTCAAGCCTGATTATATTCGAAAATTGTTGCGCCTAGACATTCACGGCGGACAGGTCCTTGCGAATAGATGCACATATGGGGAGCTCCACGCAGTGAATAATTAATCCGAGCGGGTCATCCTCAAGCCTGTAACTATCGTCATTTTGGGGCTCCCGAAGCCTGAATATGGAGAAAGTATCAGGCGGGGAGCCTCGTCTGCGAGTGCACTGTGAGGAAGTCTCAGGCGGGAGCCCCCTCCCTATGCGCTCTTCAGAGGGCGCGATTCGCCCGACCCATCAAGTGAGGAGGAAAAGGAGGAACAGGAGGTGAGGACGACGACGGCGGCCGGGCGCAGGGGGAAACTCTTGCGTCCGGGCCAGAGGTCTCAAGAGGCCTCCTGGACGTCGCCGAGAGGTAGCAGCGGAGGTCTCCGGGAGCCTCCACAAGGCTTCCAGCGACTCCCAAAAACCACAACCCTGGATCACCGATCTTAGATCTCACATCCTAGATCCTAGAGCCCCGATCCTTCGCCCTTGATCACCGATCCTTGATAGTCGATCCTCGATCCTGCATCCTCGGCCCTCCATCGAGCACACGCAAGCGTGACACTGGGTATAAGAAAGACCTTTGGTGCGCGGCTTTTTGGGGGACGCGGGGTGGCCAAACCAGGCGCGCAAGCCGCTGCTGCCGCCTCGCGTTCAGCGATCGCGGGGCCCCACTGGGCCCGCACCAGAGGTCGCTCCCGCGAAAGGTCACTCTTACGTCTAGTCGACTCGATCCCGGGTCCCCGATGATGGATCCTTGATCTTCTGTTCTGGGCCACCCAGCTCCACGCACCCTGCCCCGCGATGCGCGACGCGCAATGCCCTTTGCGACCTCGCGCCCTCACGCCCTCCCAGCGCAACCGCCCCGGCTCGGGCCGCAACGCGCGAAGCGCGATTCTCTTAACGCCCCCGCGGCGGCGGCGGCGGCTCCTCCTCCTCCTCCTCCTCCTCCTCCTCTCCTCCTCCTCCTCCTCCTCCTCCTCCTCTCCTCTCCTTCCTTCTTTCTTTCCTTCCTTCCCTTCCTTCACTTCCTTTCCTTCCTTCCTTCCTTCCTTCCTTCCTTCCTTCCTTCCTTCCCTCTCCTCCGTCCTCCTCCTCCTCCTACTTCTCCTCTTCCTCCTCCCTCCCTTTCCTCGTCCTCCTCCTAGTCCACCTCCATCTCCATCTCCTCCACCTCCACCTCCACCTCCACCTCCATCTCCTCCTCCTCCTTCTCCTCCTCCTCCACCTCCTCGTCCTCGTGCTCGTGCCGTTGCAAGTGCTCCTCCCCCCCCCTTTCTTTCCTCCTCATATCATCATCAATCATCATCATCATCTATCATCATCACATCATCATTTCATCATTCATCATCATCATCAGAGCAGCATCAGCATCAGCATCAGCATCAGCATCAGCATCATCATCATCATCATCAGCATCAGCATCATCATCATCATCATCATCAGCATCATCATCATCATCATCATCCTCATCATCATCATCATCCTCATCATCATCATCATCATCA